CTCAGCCATAAGCTATGACTTTATACATCATTCTCACAGAGCCTGCCAATGGATGGGAGGGGGAAAAGACAAATCCAATGCCACAGGATCCTGATAATTCCAAAGGAAGACTTCCAAGGCACTTGGAAATGCAGCAGTAAGGATGACTTGGGTTTTGAGCAATAAATAAGGAAGTTCAAGAGAGACAAAATTCAAGTTCAGCGCCGCAGGGTTTCAAAACAGAGTTAAAAAAAATACTGGTTTGACATTTAGCAGCACTGCTAAGTCTGTTATTCTACATGAACGACTCTGTGATGAAATAAAGACAGGCTGGGCTACCCCAGCAGTTTTCATAATAATCCTCTCATCAGTATTTTTATATCCTCTAAAAACGGGCAATACCTGCAATCCTCAGATTTATCTGGAAGTCAGAATTTCTCCTCAGTCCTTCTGTATTAAAATTTCCTCCAAAATTTCCTAACACAGGCAAAGTTTCAGCAAACACCTTTTGTAATTAATAACTGCCTACAGATAATTCATATTTTCCAGTGTTTTTATCATGACAGTCTTCTTTACTGGACATTACATTTAGGATGATACTAAATAATTTTAAGTTTCTAACATGACACTGACAGATAATTAACAATTAGATTCCTTTGAAAAGAATAAAAATACTCACTTAATGAAGTCAAAATGTATGGGATATTCAGAATTAACATTAGGTTTCTATACTGGATTTGTTTCTACGAAGTAAATCTGAGTTTCTTTCTGCTCTTTATTTTTAACAGTATAATTGGATAAATATTCCATGGATACACTTATGACTTATAGACATCAAATAGTTTTTGACAAGTAAGTGGTTTAAGGTGGTATTTAGGCATGTAAAATTTTATCTGAGGCAGTAGAGATTTCTCAGGAGAATGTCCAGCCTGGAAATATCCAGAAGCCTAAAGATGCTGCAGATCACTTCCCACTTTCCATGCAAAAAGCCAATTATTTGCAATTCCCTGCATTATTTTAAGCCAATCCATCCATGCACAAAGTCCTGTGTGCTCTGAATACGTGCACAGATGTTTCCAGCTGCATCTCCAAAGCCTTCACTTGCTCTGGAAACCCAAGGACTGAAATCTGTGCCTTTCATCTGCATTTGGAACCTGCTAAATTTAAGCCCACTCTGCGTATTAACACATCCTGAATCTGCTTCTGTGTCATAAAACTGACAGGGATAAAATGGAAATTGCAAGGTGAGTTCCAAATCTCCTCTCCCCTCATTAACCAATCAGTCTGGAAATTCCACACTGTAATTCTCCTCCCAGAGCAGTGACTCTGCAGAGTTTGGGATGCAGAGTGAAGGTCCTGCAAAGATTTGTGCCACCTAACTGGTGGTTTCCATTATTACCCAAAGATTTTATACCCACTCAAAGCTTCTCTGTGCATCACTTTTTAGTTGTTATTATTATTATTATTATTATTTAATAGTTTATTTCCATATTCAGACATAGAGGGATGTTGCTTAAGGGTAATCAGCCTCAAGTTTATAAACAAATCATGGCTAAAAACTGAGAAACTAAGCTTGTGATTACTTAAATATTTAGTTTAGCAAATCAGCTCTTTGTTTGGAGTAAGTACAGATAAAAAGTTGAACTCTATTATCTGCATGTAATTGGCATCTGCAACTAAAATTCAAATTCAAAGGCTTTATTACCCCCCTGACAGCATGAGCCATAAACTGAGCAACTCCAGCTCAGTAGTTTCCTCAAGTATCCAAAAACCCTGCAGAGACGACGCTGTGGCAGTGCCTAAATAAGCCAGAATAGGAGGCAAGGCTTTGTCCAAACCAAAAACGAAACCAAACAGGAAATATTTTAACAACTCTTCCCTGTGAAATGTTTAACTCACAATTGACTCTTTCCTCAACTCTTCTTTTATCAGCTGAGCACAGAGAGTTCCCTCAGAGACGCGAGGATCCGAGCAAGGCTTCAAAAAAAAAAATCAACTTCTTTTGGTTGTTGTCATTCTTAATCACAGATATCTCTAAAATTGTTACTCCCAACTACTAGTGGGAATAAAAAACTCTGGATCAGCTAAATCAATCAGGCCTGTGCAGTTGGGAAAGGGAACAAGCAATTTGGTGAAGAATCAATTTATTGGCTATTAAAGACATGCTCAAAATTAACTGCAGAATGAAGTTTCCCATTTATCTACTCTGGAGGATATCTCCAGATTCCTGCTTTCAGCTGGGTTGTGGACTCCATGAATTCCATGGGAAGTCATCCCAAACAAACCCAGCCATCCTGCAGCCCCCAAAAACGATGGGCTTCAAGGTAAAATAATCTGAAAATTGAGACAAGTCACAGACACTAATGAAATATCAAGCCAATACTTGAAAATAAATTGCATGTTAATGGATCCTGCTGTCAAATAACCAAGTTCCCAAAAACTCACTTTGACAGCTCCAAGGAATCCTAAGAGATGGTGACTTTCAGAGCTAACAGCCAATTTTTGTAACCTTTTTGGGTAAAAATGTGGCTTTTTCAGACACAGTCACTGAATATTTCACATCTCTGTGAATGCAACATTTCATTTTTGCCACAATTTCTTGGGAGCTCAGAAACTCCCACTGGCAGATTTGGAGCTAATGACTGTAATGGCTGTTGTGCTCTTGTATTTAGGGATTTTTGGTCAACTCATTCATTTGCTAGACTGTGGAAAATTTGCTTCCAGTAGTTCTGAAGTGCAGAGGTTTGGGGTTCAACAGCAGTTTTTACAATGGATTTTCATGTGGTCCAGCTGCAAGCTGAAGGACTGGGTTTGTATCTTAGCCAGCACTTTTTTCACTAAAACTTCCCAAATTCCAGCCCTAGACAGACAAAAAGATGGATGGCCCTACCTGCTCTGTTTGCAGAATGTCTCTCAAATAAAGGCATATCTTCACTCACAAACACAATTACAATTAAAATACAGCACAAAGCAGCCAGGAGAGGACCCTGATGTTCCCCCATGACCATCTCCTTATTTAGGTTTCAACTGGAACAAAAAATTCCTGACATTCAGATGTAGTTGATTTGTTCCCCTCAAAATCTGTCCCTGTTTGTACCTCATATTTTAAGGGCACAGGGATAACTGACCTTACCCCCCTACCCTGCTTTTATCTTCAGACTCCCCCTTAGAACTTCCATTTTATTCTCTCTTTTCCCCCAAAACAGGGACTTGGTCACCTTGGTATCAGATCTTAGGCTTGTATGTACAAAATATCCAGCTGAAAACTGGGATCTGGCAATCTCAGATTCCATTATTTGAGTGGTTTTGTCCTGAATTTTCTCTTCTTTTTGCTTCTTCTACAGACTTTGCACTACACCAGTCACAGAAAAATTTCTTCCTCTTCTCCAACGACTGCTGCTCCCTCACCACTCCCTGAGCATCACAGACACAAAAGTCAGACACAAAAAGGAAAACTAGGAGGATTCTGCAATATTTCAGTTCCTTCTTCACAAATTACCAGGGCCAGGGAATTAAAACATGAAAAAAAAACATTAAGTAATGACACGTTTTCATGAGATTTTTTGACCCAGAAGTCCAACCTTGGACTCTGTGCCATGCACATCTGTGTGTGTCTTTAGGGAAGTGTTCCTTTTACTTTTAAACCTCATAAACATTCAGTTTTCTATTGGAAATTATTTCCCCATTAAGTTTCCTTACTTTAAATATAGACTAGTCAAGGATTCATTCCCTTGTGCCCCTGAGTTAGCTTGCTAAAACAGATGCTATTATGGCACTTAACTCTTCAAGAATTTCACATATTTTATTAAATAGACAAAGGAATTTTAATTAAAAACATATTTCAAGTACACCTGAAAGTCCCTTTACTTGTTTTACATTGTACTCCCGAGTCCCTCTGAGGGTTTCAGCAGGAGATATATGCAGAATGTTTGGATTAAGTGGGAATTTGGTAATTCAGCAAGTCTCAGGGAGAAATTTGCACAACAGGAAAGTAAAAATTACAACTTCAAATGAGGTGTAAAAATGAAATCTTAATTATGCAGCTACTCCAGATCTCCTATGATCTGTACAACCACTGGGGTTTGGGGGTTTTTTGGATAGATGCTGTGTTAAGCTGTTGGCATCTTCTCCTCCTTGAGGAGGAGCTTATATTTCAATGGCAGATTAAGCAATTTCTGTGATTCATCACAGGTTTGGAGGTTTTTAGTGCTTCAAGATTTTTTGGGATAAGCAGCTGTATCATAAAGGCACATTACTGCTTCTAGGAAAAGATGAGTTGTTTTGCATTTGAAGCAAAAGCTTAATTGATGCACTGCTGACTTCCTCCAAAACTTCACTAATTCATAAATTTTACACACCCAGCATTACCAACCAGTTGCTAATAATAATTAATCTGCATTTAGTTTTAGTCACGTGGATTTTTTTAATAAAAATCCAAATAATGACACCTCTAATGATCAATTAATTCCTTGCAAAGAACGCTGAATACATTACACAGCAGAAATGTATTTGGTAAGCAAGCACACTCTAAAAATCATGCCAGTTGGACACTTCTTGCTACTAAACATTTGCATTGAAGGAGAATTAAGGGTGGGCAGAGCTCTCAACTTTTCTTCACTTGGTTTTCAATTTCCCTGTAGTTTTTACTAAGTATCAGGTAAATTCAGAGGACTGGCTTCCTGGGAGCACATATTCCTGAAGGAAATTGCTTCCTGGGAAGCCTTGGCATGATAGCCACTGTCCTATCCTGGGAAAACAGTTGTGGAAAAACTTCTGGGAACGGGAAATCTCCTCTCTGAGGAGCAGGTACTCATAACAGATCAAGATAAAACATGATTAAGATCCAAATCTCTAGAAAATCACCAAGGGCTGCGACTCGGCGGAATCGAGCGCATCGGTTGCGAGTCACATCCACTTCAGTGGGATCACAGGAACGTGGCTTAAATATTGCAAAAACCTCAGGGGAAAAAGTAACATTTCTGTTGTAACTTGAGGTTTTTTTGCACTGTTTTTGGCTGCAGGCATCATGGTGAGTAAGGAGCCCAGCAAATGCTTACTCACCGCCTCGGACAGCGACGTCGAGCCCGCGGCTTCCCTGGCGCTGGAGATGAAATACGCGCTGGATCCCAACCGGCAGATCAAGAAACGGAACAAAGCCCTCCAGGTGAGGTTTAAGGATATCTGTGAGGCCCAGAACGAGCAGAGGGACAAGCAGCTCTCCACCTCCTCCTCGCAGGACCCCGACAAGAAGGAGGCCAAGGCCATCTCCTACAAGACGGCCTATCGCAAGTACATGACAGTGCCCGCCCGCAGGTCCATCCCCAACGTCACCAAGAGCACAGGAGTCCAGACTTCCCCTGATCTCAAAAAGTGCTACCAGACCTTCCCTCTGGACCGGAAAAAAGGGAATATTCTGAAAAGCGCCGCGACTGTGGACACGTTACCGAGCGAGAACAACGGGTTCCTGATTGAGGTGAAGGACAGGGAGGGCCGGGGCTCGGGCGAGGCCGCGGCGTGGGGCAGGAAGGCCGGCAGCCTGCAGACGGCCGAGTTCATCTCCCACATCTCCGAGCGCGCCGCGCACGACAACGGCACCGAGGCCTGGAAAAGCAGCGATTTGCACAGTTCTCCCAAAGAGCCTCCTCCTCCACCCAACTTGGCCGAGCCCGGCGAGGAGGGGCCGGCGCGGCCGCCCAGCCGGGGCAGAGGGGCGGCAGCGCGGCTGGGGAGCGACGAGGCCGCCCAGCCCCTCCACGGGAGGGTCTTCAAGACAGAAGTGGCCACGGTTTACCTGCCGGCCTCGCAGCCCGACCTGCCCGGCCTGGGCGACTGGGGGCCGTGCCCCGAGGAGGACGACAAGAGGACGGTGCAGCTGAACGGGGTGCAGCCCCCGGCCGGAGATGCCCGAGCGTGCGCGGCGCGGTCGCAGTGCCCGGCCCCCGAATGTAGTGACCAGAGCCTGCAGGTCAACGTGGCGCCCATGGAGGAGAGCCAGCCCTGCCGGACGGCCGTGGCCGTGAGCCAGGAATGCCAACAAATCGTGCCTCACACCGAAGTTGTGGACTTGAAAGCGCAGCTTCAGATGATGGAGAACCTGATCAGCTCTAGTCAGGAGACCATCAAAGTGTTGTTGGGTGTTATACAGGAGCTAGAGAAGGGAGAAGCTCACAGGGAAGGGTGAGTAGAAGCTTTTTTAATGAGTATGAGCTGATTGAAATGTCTTTTCCACCTTGAGTTTGCTGATGCCAACGCATCCCTGCTGCCGCGCACGTGGTGCTCCTCACACGGAGTTTTGCTGCTTTAGGAGAAACATTCAGATTGCTATCTGCCAATCCCAGGGTGTAATTAAGTAATTATTTAACGAAGGGCCCATAATACATCTTCTTGTGCCTTTTCTAAGGAGCACAGAACGAGCTGCTCTCCAAACAGGATTAGCGAGGATGTTTTCACATCAGCAACTTGCATTAGCCATAATTCCTCACACGGCATGAAAAGCAGCAGCCAAACCTTAATTCTGTAAGAGACTTACCTTTTTAAGATTAAGGGATATTATTACAACTCCTAATGTAATTCCCTTAATGGCATATGAGTCTCATCTGGTTTCCTTTCACCTGAATTTTTCATGGTATTTTTATCAGAAGGAAATGAAACGAAAACTTAGAATATCAAAGTCTTCTTCATAATTTTCACACAGCCCCAAACACAACAAACCCAAGCAGAAAGAAACTAAACTGTGTTTATCCCTGGCTTTCATTATTTAAATTAACCATAAGGCATTAAAAGTATTGAAACTGTAACTCAGTACAACCTTCAGTCTTTACCTGGACAGTTCAACCCATCTTTTATCATCTTAACAAATATTTTGCAGACTGAATAGCCTTAGTTCACTCATCTTTATTCACTGAACATACCTCAAAATGTATGTGTGCTGTTTGTGTGTTTTGAAATTCTTCTGTAGTTAAATCATAATTTGCCAGAAAAGATCAGGACTTTAAAATTTAAAAACCAGCAACTCATTCAACTTGAAGCAGCACCTGCTTTTGTTTGAGTCAGAAATGTATATCTTTAATTTAAATTTCTTTAGGAATGCAGGAATCATGTGAATCCTTAAACTCAACATGTTTGGCATTAAAAAGTCATCTTAATTGGATCCTGCTGTCAACATGGCCGTTGTTAGTTTATTTTACAGCTGGTTATATTATTATTTATATCCTTATCAATTATCAATATCAAGGACCTTATCAAGTCCTGGATAATCACACTGGGACGTTTCTTGGCCTGCCTGAAAGCCACACAGGTTTCAATGAACTGAAAGATCTTTTCCAACCAAAACAATTCTATAATTCAGGTTTTTTTTTAAATTATTACTCAAAAAAAAAAAAACTCCACTGATTTTCTTAACTTAGAGAAACTGCAAGAGCTTTGGCAAGAAGTGCCAAGCTGCTTTTCAAATCACAAAACACAGACAACTATTTCATCATCATCATCATAACTCATTACCCGCTCGTGGAGAGCCCTGAGTGCACAAACATCCACACCAGCCCCAGAGCCACCTGCTATAAATATTCTGCTTCCTCCACACAATTACAGATCCAGATTTTATCCCTTCCCAAAGACAGCACAGCCACAGGTGCAACAAACACAGACTTTTTATTGCCCTGACAGAGCAGAGCTGTTTGCAGCCAGCGTTAGCAGTGGATCCCTGCCCTTGGCACAAAACAGATCTTGGCCAAACTATCCAGGATTGTCTTCAGATAATTCCTCTGCAGCTGTCAGCCTTACAAAGCTGTATTAGCCCTAAAATGGTGAAATTATCCATAAATCCCAGTTTAGAGTATCTTTACACCTCTTAGACTCGTGCACTGGAGTTTACAAGACTCCATCTGACCAAGAAGAGCCCATTTATCAGCACTGCTCTACACTTGGAGCCACTTTCAGCTGCTCCTGCGCGTGCCCCAGACCTGCTCCCTCCATTCTGGGCACGGAGGGTGTCAGGATGGAGAAGGAAGGAGGGAGATGCACACTTGTACATTTTCTTATCCCTGCATTCCAGAGCCCTCTGATTTGGTGGCTGTTGGATGATTTGGAAGGAGACTGCACAGCTTTGTGCTCGGGACCTTCCGCAGTGAGGCCTCTCTCCAGAGCTGGGAGAACACTCTGTTCTCCTGCAAACACCAACACATTATTAACACAAAGCCTGTCTTTATCCCCAGCTCCCTCAAATTACACAACTCCTGCAATAATAGGCTGCCCCATCCTTTTATTAGAATAATTCTTGCCAATTGCTGCATTCATCCTACACCATCTTTGCCACAGACCCTGTGTAAACTATTACGTATCTCCTCAGTGCCAGCATGTTGAGCTTTTTTCCCGCTATAACCCGGTTTTAGGTCAGTTTAGATGAAGAAATTAAAGCAGTTCTGCTGTTTATTGTCGCATCCTCCATCTGCTAGAACAGCAAGAGATGTTTTGTATTTATGGAACTCACCTGCTTTTCTGATGTACATAAAATTCCTTAGAATAACACACTACAAGAAACAAATACAAGTAACACGCTGCTGGGAAAGGGAAAAAGATATGAAGGGAAAAAAAAAACCACCAAAAGCAAAAAACATAGCCCCAACTAAATTTCTTAATCAGATTTTTCTGCCTTTAAGGAAATCAGTGTTCTTTAAGTGCTGTTGCAGTGCCACGGGACTGGTGCTCAGTGGATTCATTTTCACTAATATGCTGTAGGTCCTGAACTGCTATTACTGCAATTCATCACTAAATGAGTCGATGCCAGCAGAACTGTAGCAGCATCTCTGAAGGCAGCAGCCTCATCCTTTGGGTGCCTATCATCTATGTGTGCTTTTGAAAATGTCAGTGCTCCATCATCTGCAATTAGCAACAACAGCCAGCACTCAACTCTGCTTGACGGGAAGGGGAAAGCCACTGGAACAGGAGGAGAAACACAAAAACTGTGATCCCCCTCCCAGTATCAAAGGACATTATTAAAATTCTGTGTTATGTGCATCGTTATTTACTAAATCCTTGGCAAAATGGCTGTTCTACCTCTCTGTGTGGAAGCTTCTACAAAAAAAGCAAATTACATCCCAGCAAACATTGCTGGATGCCTTAAGTCATGCATGAAGGAAGTGCAGAGCTGCAGCTTCAATTAAGAGTCCCAGCTCAGAGTTAAAAAAACATTGAATATTACATGATGCAGGGTGCAGCTTTACAACACAAACCCAGCTTTATGCTCCAGTTTTATTCTGATAAATTATCAGCGACCTCACTTTGCAGACATATTTGTCTGTGTTCAGAGGGAGAATTTAGGAAGCCAAATGTGTGGAGCATCACTAAGGCTGACAGGACTGCAAGCACAATGCAAGTTAATCATTCTGAAACCTGACTAACAAAGATCTGTGAAATACAGAACAGAAGATGAGCACATAATCAGAATCACTCTGCTGCTGGAGAACAGCAGTGACCTGCCCTTTAAATCCTTCCCGTGGAAGGAACAGTAATCTGGGCCCTCCTCATTATACAACAAATCAGCAATTTTAATAAACAAAGTGCTCAATTTGCCACACAAAAAACAAGTCACAGTATTTTGACTCTGCCAGGCCAAATGCTACACACTAGACAAGAGTTAAATGAACCTGTTTCAGAGCTAATTTACATTCCCCTATTAGTCAGCAGTGGTTCAGGAATTTAAAGAGCTCTCAACAAACTCCTTCGAAGACGTCGTCATGGATGGAATTTAAATGTCATTGCACGTTTTTCAATGACTAAGGGATTTTTGTGCCTCACACTCTCATTTCTGAGCAGAAAATAAGCCCATACTGTGTGTCTGGATGGAGGTTTGCACCCAAGGGAAGAGCAGAGCAGGGAGCATCCTCACCCGTGTGCTGCCTGAGCAGCCCTGCCAGCACTGGTGCTCAAGGTCACCCAAACTGATCCTCCTGCTCAGCAGAGATGGCAAATCCAAGTCAGGGAGCCAAAGCAATTATTGCCTGGGTTGTTTGCTCTGCTCCCAGCCCAGCTCTTCAGAGCAGACCAAGGAGACAGAGCAAATCAAGGCAGGAACAACCTCCAGCCCCCCACCTTCCAAACTGGAGTTCCTTATTTCACACTGGAGAAAAGGAAGCTTAAAAGAGTTTACAAGAGCAGAGCCTCTGAGAGTGATGTGCCAGCTGCAGGAATGACAGCACAGGGCTTGGTTTGGGATTTCCCCCCTCAGTGGCTTTGTTTTGCTTTTTTTTCAATTGCAGCCCTGGCAAAGGGAAGGTTTAACAGGATCATTTCTAAGAGAAAACCTGGAAATGGAGGGAAACAACAGATAAGCTTAACTACAAAAGACAGCTCACTAGAAATAAATACATGAAAAGCAGAAAGAATACAGCAAATTGCATCTGGGATGCACAAATTGTCTCATACTCTGAGTGACTCCAGCTTTTGGGACACTGTAAGAACAGCTTGAGAAGAGGACTGTGCTGAGTGCCTTTATTTCCTGCTGTGACCTTTTTACATCCATCCAGCCTGCCTGGAATCACCTCTGAAATGGCCACACTCGTTTCATTATCCCCAAAACCACCTCCTCAATTCTTCCCCCTTTCCTCTCTCTGGAGCTGCTGTATTGTCATTTTTTATTTGTGTTCTATTTTTTGTATTTTTGCATCATTTACAGATCATTCCCAAACACCTCGGAACCTGTAACAATCCACCTTCCTGAGGCAGAGCCAGGGAATCTCTTTGGATGCACCTTCCTTAGCCAAGAAAAAGGAGTAATTTTGTACAAATCAGAACTTTGTGGACCTCGTCATCCTTGGGCCAGTGATGGTTGAGTGCTGCTCCCTCAACCCAAAGCAGGAGCAGTACCAACACACCAAAAGCCCATTTACCTGCCCTCAACATGAAAAATTTGGTTTTCCAAGCTCTGAACCAGCCCTTTTGTGCTCCCCCAAGCACAGCTGGAGCAGAGCAGGCCCACACTGACACCTCACCACTGGAACTATTCCATATGTCCCAAAACCCCATGGAGGTTATTCCAGTACCTGCTGCCAGTCCATGCATCCCCTTGACCCCTCTTACCTAAAATTCTCTTACATAAAAAAATCCCAAACCAACCAAACAATGAAAGCTGATGATATAAGACTGACCACTGAAATATCCACTATCACTGAAGGAAAAAA